TGTTAGATTGCCAGGCAACAAAATTCTCATTGAAATATCAAGTTTACTTTGACAAAAAAAAGCTCTCGTGTAATTATAAGTGACAATTAACTTTCTAATACCAATAATAACATCATGAGAGTGAACCAAGGCCTTTCTATTACCATTCAACAGTGAATACAATCTAAAACTGGGATACAATTTATTCCATCTTATTCGAATTGCTCTTCATCTACAAAAATTTGTTTGTTGTCACAAGAAATGCCATTACAATTACGCTGTGTCTAGAATCCCGGTACCGGTAACACTTTTTTTACCGGTAGTTTTGATGCCGTCACCTATATGACGAACTAGGTACCCGGGATTTAAGCAAATCCCGGTAAAAAATGTAGTCGTTGGCGGTTTTTGTTTTATCAAAGTCCAACTTAACCTAACTTTTTATGTTTTTAACTTGTTTTGTTGATGTGTGAACGTAAAGTGGAGTGTTTTCGTGAGTTTATCTACGTGAAATTACTTTTGAAATGGTTTTTAATGTAGGACAAACATTTAAAAGTTATAAAGAAGTTGAAGAGACTTTGACACGTGAAATGTGCCAGTTTGTGTGAAATACCCAAAATGTGGTACTTACCTATTGTTCTGAGTGTAAACTTAATAAATAAAAAATGAGAGATATTCATTTTAATTTACATCCTAAACAGTATAGTTACATATATTGCTAGAAGTAAATTAATAAATATTAAACCCGATTAAAAACTGCTATATGTATAAAGTGACATTATTTCAAATTCGTTTAAATTCTCAGGGATTTTCTGGAATAACAACCCTAGTTTACTATCATCCGATTGCAGATTACTTCTAATCTGGGATGAGTTGTTCGACATTTCCGAACGCAAATCATTTATATAAGGTATTTCGAACCTAAACTAACTTTTATAGTTTGAATTGTTTCAAAAAAGTGACGAAAACATTAATAAATTAACCTAAAATACCATTCAGCTGATAAATAACGATAAAAACAAAATCAAAACACCGGGATTTACCTAAATCCCGGTACAAGTGCGTCATATCGATGACGTCATCAGAACTACCGGTAAAAAATGTGTTACCGGTACCGGGATTCTAGTCTAGACACAGCGTTACAATTACCACATAGGATTGAACACGGAATATTCGACTTTATACACGTGCATAATTTGTTACATCCTGACTTGCAGTTGCAATAATCATAATCAGAACAATCTACTATGATCATAACATGACCTCCGATATAAAACTCAAAAACTGACAGGTGTATTTTGCATTTATTTTCTTTTGAATTTTATTATCAGAGGCAAATAAATGTTGACTGAAATTGAAAACATGGAACCAAAGTCATAACATTTTGTTTTGTTCTGCGATTTTCGCGCCTTAAATAATTAAATTATCAAAACCGATTAATTAACAGAATTGAAAATTCATAAGTTGATAGATCGCTATGATACAAAATTACTTTTCATTGTATCTGATATATTTTTTAATTCTCTTCAATTTTCATGTCTTCATTTTTTTCAAAAAAATGTACCGTTTTCGAGTTATTCGCGGTTTTTCCCAAACAGTGCTGAAATTCAAGATGGCGGACGACTTTTTTTGGTGACGCAACAGTCGGAGGCATGGGGACTTTTAGTATGTTAATAAGGGGTACTAGGGCTACCTACTTATGTTTGATAGTCGCAGCTTTATAAAGAAAAAATTGCATTTTCAACATTGTGAATTTCATAACTGCACTGGCCTATTTCTTCTGAGTTTGCATTTACGATTCGTATTTTGTCTTCTCTTGTCCTTGTGTTTGCTATTTTAGATTTGTACAGATCTCTATACAAAGATTCCGCAACTTTTAATATCTGTTGTCTGCCTTCTACTATGTTGTATTTCACATCTTTTATTTTTGTTATCTCTTTTTTAGGTGTGTTATGTCTTTTAAATATATTTAGTCCTTTGTTCTGTTCTAATACGGATTGCACTTGTTTCGTTTGATGTTTTAGTATATCCTGTTTCGCCATTTTTCTTGCTGTTTTGTTGGATTCTGTGTATTCGATAGTGTCTCTTTTACCATCGGTTATCAGTGTTCTGCTTTTCTCTAGTAGCCGTTTCGTTTCTATCGACAGTTTGTCCGGCGTTTTTTCTAGGGGGCCTATTATCTGTTCTGCTGTTTCTTTTATAATTTTTGTTATTCTCCTATTATTATCATCTAATGACTCTTCTGTTTTTCCTGGATTGTTGGAAAAGTTTTTTTTCAGCCTTTGCTTGTTTCCCTTCTTTCTGCTATCTTTCCTCTCTTCGTCATTTGTTTCATCTTTGTTTTTCTTTCCATTTTTGTGTTTATGAGCAGTTTGCATCTTTCCATCCTGTGATCACTGCCAGTGTTGAATTGATCTACATCTTGGATTATGTGTTTATGGCGGGAGAATATAAAGTCAATCTCATTTTTGGTTTCTCCATCTGGGCTATTCCATGTTCATTTACGTTTCTTTTTCTTTTGGAAGAAATTGTTCATCAGATAGAGTCTTTCTCTTTCTAGAAAGTTTGCTAACATTCTTCCCCTTTCATTTCTGGTGCCGAGTTCGAACTGTCCTACGTGTGTTTCCGTTAGTTCTGCTCCTCTGCCTATTTTTGCATTAAAGTCTCCTCCTAGAATAGTGTGCGTCGTTGGGTTCTCTCTTATTGCTCTCGCTATGTCTTCGTATACCGTTTCCACCTTGTCATCTTCATATGAGGAAGTTGGAACATAAGCTTGTATATATTTTAGCGCTATATTTTTTTTTTATATTGATTACGATATATATTACTCGTGTCAGATATTGTTTTCAGGATTTTCAAGTTTGTTGATAGTTATTTATTTTTTAATATTCCAACTCCTCCATTGTTATCATCATCCTTCCCCCTGTAGAGCATAGTATGCCCGGAATCCAGATTGAGGTATTGTTCTCCTTTTCTCCTTGTGAAGTGGATTATTTTGCATTAAATACACTTCGGAGGAATTGTAGAAACCTCACTAAGGAGTGCTACAACTTATACATAAGTGATATAGAAAGGGCCTTAGGCATTTATGTGAAAGTCTTCTGGAACTTTGTTCATTCCCAATCCAATCAGGTTACTATTCCTAAGGAAATGTTTCTGGCGACAGATATAGCGTCCAACGGTGTTGACATAGCTAATCTTTTCGATGTTTATTTTTTCCTCTGTCTATAAACCCGAGAGAAATACCAACGCCAGAACTTTTGCTGATCGATTTGAGAATGTCGCAAGCATTGTTATAGACCCAACCGATATTGAGAAGTTTTTAAAGCAAGTGGACATCAACAAGTCTGCAGGACCTGTTAGTATTCCTAACAAAGTACTAAAATCTTGTTGTAACACTTTGTACCTCTCACTATTTATTATTTTTAACAAATTCTTAAACTCTGGAATTTTTCCAGAAATGTGGAAGCTCTCTTATGTTTGTCCTGTTCACAAGTCAGGAAGCAAGAATGATGTAACAAACTACAGACCTTTCAGCATCCTGTCTGCAATTCCTAAATTATTTGAGCAGTGAGTTGAAAATATTCTTTCAAAAATATTTCATCAGATTGTTATCAGTCAACAGCATGGTTATACAGCCAGTAGATCTGTTGATACGAACCTGTTTCTCTTTACAAATTTCATAAATTCATCGTTTGATAACAATGCCGAAACTCATGCAATATATACTGACTTCAGTAAAGCATTTGATAAGGTAAACCATAACATCCTTCTTTCAAAGCTCTCAAGTTATGGTGTTTCTGGACCCTTACTTTCATGGATGAAATCTTACCTTACTAACAGAATGCAACAAGTCAAGATCGATGGCTATCTTTCTTCTCTTTTCCATGCATCCTCTGGGGTACCCCAAGGCTCTCACTTGGGCCCCCTTCTATTCAGCTTATTTATCAATGAATTAGGATCGTTGCTCTCCTTGAATTTTTTACTCTTCGCTGATGACTTGAAGTTGCAGCTCAAGATATACTTATTCTGCGAAACGATCTTAAGATTGTTTATGATTGGTGTCAGCTTAATGACATGTTCCTAAACATTAATAAGTGTTGTTGTATTAAGATTCAGTAGACTCACCTGTAAGTTTCCTTTTCAGTATTGCTTAGGTATTGTTCGCTTGTCTGAAGTTTTTGTCATCAAAGATCTTGGTGTCTATAGTAGGGTAATGTTCATCAAGCATTTTGAAATGGTAATTGGCAGGGCTAATAGAATGTTGGATTTTATTAAGAGAGCTACTAGGGACTTTACAAGTATACGCCCCATCAAAATTCTTTATACATTACTGGTCAGATCCGTTCTTGAATTTTCTTGCATAGTTTGATCACCTTACTATCAGATCCACATCAATAGACTTGAGAGTGTTCAACACAAATTTACCAAGTTTGCTAGGTACAAACTGTCCCTGAGTGGTGTGATTCTCAGCGTTGACCAGACTATGACTTTGTTAGACTCAACTACTCTTGTTCGCAGAAGGGAATACTTTGATGTCTGTTTTGCTTTTAATATCCTTTAATAAGCCACGAATGTCTTGGATGCTTTCATCTACACACTCAAAGTTATTGGACACGAAGTAAATCTTAACTGCACATTCCTTACTGTCATACTTGGTACTTACTTTCAGTTTTGTTATTAGAATATCTGCCAATGTAAATAAGTTCTATGAGGGTCTTGACTTTTTTAGTTTATCTCAGGATAAATTCAAGACGCGGGCCAAGAGAATTGTTTTAAGTTAGATTTTAAGATTTAAATTTTGTACCACTTCAAATGTATGTATTTTTTATACATAAATAAATAAATAAATAAATTTACTCAGGCCAGGCCAACGGCCTGCACAGTCGGCCGGACATATCCACAGACGTGCCGATATGGCTGCACAAACCAGGTTTAAGCAGTCGGTCTGTGCAAAATAACTGAGCGTCTGTGGGGGCCTTTAGACAGTAATGTCCATGGGTCTGTTTAAAATAAAAAGTTATTTATTTATAAATATATTTTATTTTGTTATTTCAACAATAAGAGACCCTCGCGACATCATTAGTTTTCTAGAAATAAGTAACAATATGAAAAATATTACACTCCTAGAAGCATAGCCAAATGAAAGAACAAACAAACAATCAGGCATTTAATAAAACTATTATTAGCCCTGGCCCCTGGAAAAGGTAGTGCGGCAGTGCTAGGAGTTATTTATTTTATAGGGAAAAATTAACACATAAGTATATTTTTCCAATGCTATTGAATTAAAATACAAAGAAAATATAAAAAAATATTTCAAAAATATAAGATACTATAGCTGTAACAAGTGATACAGAAAAAAAGTCAAAATATAAAGTTTTGTAAGATAAGCACATTTTTGTATTAGATGAAATGTTTGGCCTAACTGCATTATTGGCTGGAATAGGCTTCTATAAAGAAAAGTGTTTTAAATCAAAATCGAACTTGCTATTTGGTTCTCTCCAAAGAGAAATACTGTACATAAATTCCAAAAAATATTATAATTTGTTAAATAATTTTTACAAAACAATAATCAAAAGATGTAAAAAATCATACCTGGTACAAAAAAAAAACTAATAATGGACATAATTTTATCACACATCATAATCACACCAAAGAAAATCCTTGAGTCTGTTGAATAGCCTGCATTAATTTATATTTAAGCCGTTCTTTGGTTCTGTATCTGGGAAGATCCAGTAGGTTGAAGCAAGTGTGAGCTACTGGCAGAAATTTTTCATCCGATGTAGGTTGAATTATAATCTGAAATTTGAATTAAATAACATTAATGGTTGTAAGTTATTTAAAAATGTTGTATTACTTTGATTGCCTTCATTCCCTTGATTGGTATTCTATAAGTTCCTGTTAAAAATAGCAAAAAGTTCTTTTTGTCTTCTAACGACATCTCATGTAACACCTCCCAAAAATATCTTGAAAAGAAGTAGAATTATGATACGGAATAGTATTAAACCCAAGTAAATATAATCACCTTATTGTTGGATCAGAGGATTTATAACCATTTCTGTACTCGGCAGCTTCTTCAAGCGCATGCCAGTCGTAATTCTCATTTCCCACTACTATGGACATGAGTTCCTGGGAATGGAAAAGTTGCAAAACTCGACCATCACATACTTTCATAAAACCGTCATGGAATGAAAGATATTGACTTTCGACTGACTTATTAAATATGTAATCAACATACAACTTAACGTATTCTTCCCTAAAAAAAAAAATTAAAGGTGGATTTTATGGATGGAATCAAATGAGAGTATGTTAGACTAATTGCAGCATACACCTTATACCAACTTTAATGTCATGATCCATTTGGGAATACCCAAACGATTTTTTATTTATTTTTTTGGCAATGGTCGCAATACTGATTTGGTTGAAAAAAAAAATAAAAAAGATTATTGTCAAGACATAAAGCATATAAGCTGCATATACTGCATCTTAACCTAAACAAAATTCATAATTACAGTTCTTACTTGTTTTCTTGAGTAACAGGTATATTCGAACCATTAGGCTTAAGTTCCAGAGTAGTGATTTCACCCCAAACGTCTCTATTAATGTCAAAAGTTAAACAAAAAACATCTTGGAGATCGTCATTTTCATATTCCAGTAAGCTTTTTAAAGAATTCATCATCGCTGGAGATAATTCTTTCAAGTCGTTAAGGACTACTCGTTCACCCAAAAGTTTCTTGTACAAGGCAAGCGGAAACGGAATGTCTATTATTGTAAAGTTGTAAATGGCCAGTCCACAGATCATACCTGAAAAGTGTGATGTGTGAGTAATGCAAGAATTTGGAATTCAAGAAGCTTCAAGTCTAGTCAAAAAACCTTTGACTAAACTGACCTAGATGTTTGAAATGTAAAAAATCAAATTTCTAGTAAATCAAACTAACCCGACTTTGAACTGTTGAACTTATAATTTCAGCATACTTATTCGAAATTTTACTCTTACCGATAAGACAATAAACGTTATTATCCTCAAAACTGATTTCAGAAAACCAGATGGCTCTCGTCTCTTCATATTCCTTAAACATTCCATATTTCGGATCCAATATTTCTCGAAGCAACAACATGAAAAACTCTTTGGTCACTCCGCCTGCATCTTCAGCTTCTTCACCAGAAAATTTGATCTTAAAAATAATATTTAATGAAAATTATCAATTCACAAAATATAATGGTTTTGTTGATATGATACCTTTAATGGTTTTTTCAAATCAGCAGTGTTAACACCGCTTAGCTCTCTTAACGTATCTTCAACTATATGATCCCTGGAAATGTTCAATGACAAAAAGTGATTGATCGACACCATTCTGTTGGGCGTAAATAGAGCAGCCACAACCGCTTGCTGAGCAGCATTTTGCATGGCGCTTTGCATCTACAAAATTAAAAGCATAATTTGGATCAGCACTCTAAAGAGTTACATGAAGGTACCTACCTGCATAGATTGGTCAGTTTCTAACAATTTCAATTTAGCATGGGCATCAAAGACAAATGGGTAATTACATAAATATAATTTCCCTGACTACAAAAATTGAAGTAAATAATAATCTGTGATCCTAAAAAAAAGTGCCCTACCTCATTGTCCATTAGCCATAAAACATAATCGACCCGTACATCTAAATAATCATGTAAGTCGTTAATGTGGAATATATCAAAAGGAACTTTTAAACCGTCAGGAACGTTGTGATTTAATTTGTTTAAATAGGCCATCATATCTAACATTGCTACTAAGGCTGCGTCATAAAATATTGACTAGAATGGAAAACATAAAAAATTACAAATTATATTTAAATCTAATCAGAATGATGATTTGTAAAATTAGGCAGTGGAAAACATTTTGATACATAAATTTCTATGTCATCTCTCCATTCCTCTACACAAAATAGAGGCAAACAAACAAAAAATACTAACCCTTCCATGTGGAATGTTTTGATTTCTCATAATATAACTGGCAACATTTTTGAAAATGTTAACGAGCTTCTCAAAATAATCTGTTGTCGTCTTACTCCACCAACTTCCCACAACTTTCCTAGCAGATTCTTTTAGTCGTAGCATAGCCGAAGCAAATGGTTTTTGCAATTTGACAAATTGTTTTGAATTATTAAATTCGTGATAAAGAGGTAATAGTAGATATATTCTTAAGGATTCCACATCTGGCGGATCAGGTACTAGTTGTTTGTGGACAATGTCTGTGAGGCCAGTCCAAATCTGGAATATAATAATTATTAAGCCCAGGTTTGTTCAGATCCAAGTTCACATACCAAATTTTGAATACTTTCATTTTCAATCTTCCCAATATCACTAAAAATCTTTTCCGCCATCTGTAAATCGACTCCATGATGTTTACTTGTACAGTAATAATGTTCATCAATAAGAAAAGACCCGTTTAGGCAAGCTAAACTTTTGAATGCAGTTTCTAGAAAACTTATTACTTCTTGATCTACAGGACCTTTAGTGGGAATCCTTAATAAGGTTTTTATGTAGCTGTATGTAATAGTTAATATTTGCGTCTGAGGATCGTATTCTCTGCTATCATATGCCGGTACCTTTTTTTCCTGGGGTACAACTGATACAAAACAATGATCTCCACCTGAAAATTTATATTTTAAACAATGTTTGATGCCACAGTTAGGTAAGTGCTCACCAGCAAAAATTCTATGTATGACTAGAAGGGGACTGTTTTTATTGTCAAGGGGTATGAGCGCACTACCATTAGGCGAAACCCAAGGACCCAGAACAGCCAGAGGTGTGTAGGCACTGTTGGTTTTTCTAACACCTAATTGTCCAGAACCGCCTATACCAAAACTGTACACTCTACCTCTAGAAGGCACTAATGCTAAACAATGCTGTCGGCCACACGCAATTTGCGTGATTGTAGAGCCCATCAATTCTATTACCTGAAAAAAGGTAACTATTTAGGTGAATTATAATGTAATAATGACCGTTGTTCAGTTTATTATATTAGGCATAAATACAAAATGTTACTCACTTGTCTGGGCAAGATTTCGTTTGAATTACTCCCGTGGCCAAGCTGACCGTAACTACCTGAACCACAAGTAAACACTCCTCCATCTAATGTTAAAAAAGCCGAAAATTCTTCTCCGCACGCTACATATCGAATTTTCAAATTTCTCAATGTTCTAAGTTGGGTGGGAAACATTTTATTTTCCATATCGTTAATTCCTAACTGACCACGAGTGTTTTTTCCTGAAGATTAAACAGTATGATTTATTTTGTTAAACCATACATATTTGAAATTTCTCATTCTCACTAACTCACCCCATCCAAACACAGCTCCAGATTTTGATATTGCGAAAGTATGATTTGCTCCGCACGTAATAAACACAAATGGAAGGCCACTTATGGCATTCACCCGTTTGGGAACAGTTTCAGAAGGTGAAAACGATCCGACGCCAAGTTGTCCAAAATTATTTGCACCCCATGACAATATATCACCACCTATTTCAGAGAAACATTACATTTTTCATGTCTAAATGCGATTAAATAAAAGTTCTTACTATCAGTCAGTGCCACAGTATGTCTCTGCCCACAGGCCAGCTGTACAATGTGATATTGCGCTAATGTCCTGACAATTTTTGGTATAGCTTGAATGTTTTCTCCTAATTCTTGACCAAGCTGGCCGTGATAATCCGATCCCCATGAAAATACTTGTCCCCATTGGTTAAGGGCCATGGAATGGGTTGCCCCGCAGGCCACATGAGTAATATTGTAGGCATCCAAACCAGTTACTGGCTCTAGAATTGGATTTTGAAAAATATACTATGACACAAAAATATTGAAAGGGACATAATATACCCACCCTAATCTTAAAGTTAATGAACAAATAAAATGACATACCACAATCTGTAAATCAGTTCACCTTGGTTATTTAAAATGTACCTAACAAGACAAGTGGAGAACCAAAAATAAATAATAACCTGCATAGCATAAGGTCTCTTGTCTGTTTCCTCTAAGAACTGCAATATAGTGAAAATGAGTTGAGACTGAATATCGAATAATTTCTTTGTGTTTCCGTTTCAAAGTATGAGTTAATATTTTTGACCAATGAAAATCAAAACCACAAAGAAAAGTGCTGTAGATATGAATTGGACAGAATTTCGTGCTGGTGGTTTATTTATATTTTAGCACATCTGATCTAGATCTAAGAGTTATCCAAACAGATTTGCTCCGATTGGTTTACAGGACCTATGGTTTCAATATTTTATATAGTTTTATTTAAATGTCATTATTTCATTTTTAGTTCTTCACATACACGAAAAGCAAAATTATTACATACGAAATACAGACATACGTGGCCTTTTTCGAGGTTGGTCATGACCCAATTGACCATAATCGTTGTTGCCGCATGAAAAGACCCTTCCCTCATTGGTAAGGAAAAGGGTATGATTGTCGCCTAGTGCACATTCTATCACTTTATTGGCCAGATACCTGAAAGAAAACGGGTAGATATAGTTACCTATCAAGAGGAAGAGTATTCCTGTACAGTAACAGGTTTCAATGTATTTTGTAAATTAGTTCCAGACAGTCATAGTAGTTCATACCCAAACATTTTGAAAATGTAATGGGGGTGTAGTCGAGGGTGTAGTAGATGGTGATGAAGACTGTGACAGCAAAATCCGAAGTTTATCTCTGAATCCAATAAGTTTAACACTGCAAGAAAGACTCATTGGAATTTCAGAAGTGAGTACTTAACTTAACCTTATCATGATAAACGGAACAATAGCCACACAATAAACATTCTAAAGGCAGGCAAACAACAGCAAGGGACAGAACAATAAAAATGTCAACGCAGTGGAAGAAAAGAGCTCGTTAGAAGAGGTTTTCAAACCAAAAACTAAAGTTATTATCAGTGGCTTTGAAACATTGGAAATAAAAAATAGAAAATCCAAACAAAATGCAACATGAGACACAACACCAGAGCTGGAAAAAATATGCTTATTCCAAATTATTTTAATATTAAAGTGATGAATAAATCATAATAGAATGATCAATAAAATGGTACCTATTTAGGTCAAGCCAAGACATTATTAAAGAAAGTTGAGTTTCGTTTTACCAATTCAAAATTTTAGTCCAATGTACCTAACTATTCACTTAAATTACTTTCGGAAAACAAGTAAGTAAAGTAAGGAAATTACATGATTGCCTTGTTTTCACTGCAATGTTTTCGATCAGAACCTAGAACCTCTCTTAAGGTTCAAACCGATAACTTTTTATTATATTTTAAAGCTAGTTTTAAAGAAACATACAGGTGTTCAGTGAGCAGGCGCTACAAGTAGTTTAGTAGGCAAAATGTGAGGACCGGCAAAAATGCTCAAATTCATATTCCTGTGATCCTAAAGAATGGGAAAGTACATCTTGCCGGCAGCTGGAGTGGTCCCTAACTCTCCTGCCATCCCCCAATGCAAAGTTATATGGAAAATATCACAATTTCAAGTCATTTCACAATAATTCCTATTGATTGTACCTAAGGCTTTCTTTTCAAGCACTCAAAATAAATTACCTACCACTTGTTGGATATCTTTGCAATTCTGCTCCAAAAGATACGCAAGTAAAAGAAGACTGCGAGATGTACAGGGTCATCCAACGACGACTGAACAGGAACTTATTTTAGACCTTCCCCGTTCTTGTAGTTTTGAAAAAATTCAAAATAGCCAATTGGCATATTTTTTTCAGGAGAATTCAAAAATTGTATCAAAAAATCATTTGAACTAAAAACCAAAGAGTTACGCCATGAATGGACTGTTTTTCAAATGGAACACTCTGTTTATTATATAATTTCTGGAAAAGTAGCATTTTTAACGTCTATTCCTTTGATAATATTTGATATCGATATTCCGATGCCTATTTTTATTTTATTTTAATGTTTATCCCTAATAGTTTTATCTTCATCTGTTCAATACATCTGTGATGGCTTATTCTATGGTGATGGCGACAAAATATGTCAAATTTCTTTTGACTTTGAACAAAAGATACCTCTATCACTTATGAACCTATTAAATTGAAAAGGAAATGCTAAAATTATTAAGCATAAAACATTAAAATAAAATAAAAACAGCGGAATGCGGAATATCGAATATTTTCAACAGAATAGACGCAAGAAATGCGACTTTTCCAAAAATCATACAAAAACAGGGTGCTTCATGGCGTAGATCTTTGGGTTTTGGTTTAAATGATTTTTTGTACCATTTTTGAATTCTCTAGAAAAAAAAAAATGCCAATTGGCTATTTTGAATTTTTTCAAAACTACACGAACAGGGAAGGTCAAAAATAAGCCCCTGTTCAATCGTCGTTGCATGACCCTGTACATCTCGCAGTCTTGTTTTACTTGTGTATGTTTTTAAGCAGAATTGCAAAGATATCCAACAAGTGGTAGGTAATTTATTTTGAGTGCTTGAAATGAAAGCCTTAGGTACAATCAATAGGAATTATTGTGAAATGACTTGAAATTGTGATATTTTCCATATAACTTTGCACTGGGGGATGGCAGGAGAGTTAGGGACCACTCCAGCTGCCGGCAAGATGTACTTTTCCATTCTCTAGGATCACAGGAATACGATTTTGAGCATTTTTGCCGGTCCTCACATTTTGCATACTCATATCCCTCTAACTCCCGGTCTATTGAGGGAAAAATTATATTTTGTCATTATGTATATCACATTTGTTGTTGAATAAATTGAAAAAAAAAAAGTAATAAAAACGGAGAGCTTGTTAATGTTACTTCATGTTCGAGCAATGTTAATATAAATAGTCTCAATATCAAAATAAGTGATATATTGGATCATTTGTCAAATATAGATATAAAAAAGCGCCCTCGTCCTGATGGTATTGCCCCCATATTTATAAAGAACTGTGCTTTTGCGTTATCGAGGTCTCTTTGGCTAATATACAATAAAATCTCTGTCATTGGGTATATTTCCCAATGTATGGAAAATGTCATTTGTTTGTCCAATTTATGAAAACAATGGCTCAAGAATGGATGTCACTAACTATCGGCCAATAACTATAATGTCACATTTTCCCAAAAATTTTGAATGCATTGTTAATGAATTTCTTTCTATGTGTTTCAGGAATATTATCTCTATCAAACAGCATGGGGTTTCAAAGGGCAGATCAATAACAACAAATTTACTATTGTATGAACAAGTAATTTCTAAAGCGTTTGAAAAAGGATTTGCAGTTGACTCCATTTAGGTATACAGATTTTGAAAAGGCTTTTGGTATTCTGTTGCAGAAGCTTTCTGATTATGGTGTGAATGGTATATTGTTAAAATGGCTTGAATCATATTTGATGGGTCGTAAGCAAAGGGTAAAAATTGAACATCTTTGTCTGATGGATTATAATGTAACACCTGAAGTTCTACAGAAGGGTCATCTTGCCCCATTACTTTTTAACATTTTTATAAATGATATTGTTGACTCTTTCCATCATAGTAATGTTTTATTGTACGCAGATGATTCAAAGTTATTTAAGGTGATTGACTCACCAGATGCATCAGTACTCCTGCAGGAAGACCTTCAACGTTTTGAGAAATGGTGCGAGAATAATAATATACACCTCAACATAGGTAAATGTAAATGTATACAATTCAGCAGAAAATCAAGCCACAGCCGAGGCCACAACTTACTTCATATTACATACATACAAAATATTCTGCTTAATGGTGTAACCTCGGGTGTAACTACAATTAAGGATCTAGGAATTGTATTTGACCACAAGCTAACTTTTGTGGATCATATTGATTATATTTGTAATAAAGCTCTGGAAGTGAGGCTTTGTAAAAAGATATAACAAAGATTTTAAAAATTTATTTTCTCTCAAAACTTTGTATGTGTGTTTAGTTAGATCTCAACTGGAGAATAATACTTGTGTATGACCTCTATACTATCAGTGTCATAGAGATAGACTAACTAGAAAGAGTACAGCGCAAATTTTTGTGTCACATTAGATTTAGATTGGGACTTGATGTTGAAACCTGTACTTATGATCATCTACTGAACATGCTGAATATAAAGTCCTTGAATGAAAGGAGAATTAATTAACAAAATACTTAATAACAATATGGATTGTAGTGACCTCCTGCAACTTGTTCATATTCATACACCTCCTAGATCACAGAGTTGTGACCGTTTACTCCCTTAAAACAGCGCTTAATAATATAATAATAATAATGAAAGAATCCTCTGGATGGTTTTTTTGTGACCTTACAAATAATTTAGATGAGGAGTTGTTGGTTGAAGATACGTCAGTAAAACAGCTTAGAGAATTAAATTTGTTGTATTGACCAACGTTTCGACCAATATATGGTCATCCTCAGGATCCTAAAATAGGTACATCATAGTGACAAGTTTTTACAAACAATAAACAGTACAAAAAGATTTTATGATACAACAACTTGACAACCGCTCGACATTTGGTCAGCTCTCGGGTCAGCTACATACTCAGAAAAAAAACAGTAAGATTTGTTACTGTTGACCTTTTCTGTAAATAACCAAAAATGATCAATAGATTAGACACCTAACGTTCTACATATTTGAGTGATTGCTCGAGGATTTGATGTTCCATTATTATTTTTATGATTGGTGTAAATGTAGTTTGTATTTTATAATTTTGTTTGTCATTTCAGGGTGAGTTACGGTGGTCCATATCTCCTAGACTAACGGAGATCGAAGAAAAAACTAAATACAAAACTTGAAGATAAACATGAGCACTACATTCCTAAATTATTCACTAGTATACAGGGTGGCCCAATAAGTAGTGGTGACGCAAAGTTCTGTTTTTTTAAATGACTCTCCCTGTATATTATGACATTTCTCGATTCTGCGGAAAATTCAAGACATATTTCATGTACAATGTCATATACCTGATATACACAATCACTTAACTAGAAGTTATACAAATCGTAGTTTCCACATTCCAAGGTGCAACCTTTCAAGCACGAACAAAATGCTTTTTTATAAAGGAATAGATGATTACAACAAATTACCTCCTCTTGTTAAGGACTCTAGTTCCCTAAATGTATTTAAAAGACGGCTGAGTGAATACATTGTAGCCATGTAATTATTGTTTCATGATTGAATAGTGGGTAGTAACTACTGATCTAAAAAATAAATGGATAAACAATTCATACGGCTTGATTGGCAAAATTTGTGCGAAAATTTGGGGTCAATATTCTACGAACAGTTGTGCAACGGAACAGCCTAACGCCTGCGCAGTGTCTTATCTTTCGAACAACTGTTCTAAATTTTGAAATTCCTTCATTTTCATTGGCCAGATTTTGTGCACACACAATACATGTATCTACTGCGCACGCTCACAGCTGTCCCAGTCATTTGTTTTTGTTTAGATTTTGACCTCGTAAATTAGCAGCATTAGAAGCGTTCTTTGTTTATCCATTTATTTTTGAGATCAGTGGTAGTAACTAAATGTG